GGCTCAGTGCTATGGAATTCTGGGAACTGTAGTTGGTTGGGGCACCAGAGCTGACAGAGGCTAAATGTGTCACAAAACTACAATTCCTAGCATTCCATAGCATTGAGCCATGGCAGTTAAAGTAGTGTCAAACTGGAGTATTTATGCAGTATGGATGCAGCCTGTATCTATTTATTGTTGTGGTGGTGTACCTACTAGTTGTTTCCAACTTATGGCAACCCAGTCATGAGGGTTTTTTTTTTTGTCAAATTTCTCCAAAGGGGTTTGCTGTTGCCATCCTCTGAGGCTGAGAGAGTGTGACTTGCCCTGAACCCTCATCTTCAGAGTCATAGTCCAACGGTCAAACCACTACAGCATGCTGACTCTCATATCTTTATATCTATATCTGAGCCAGCTTGGTGTAGTGGTTTGATTCTGGACTATGACTCTAGAGGAGCTTTTTGTTTTTCCCTGCAAAGGAAATTCCAGAGCTGGGATGCTGCTACTGATAACATCTTTTCTTCAATCTATTTGGCCTCTCAGAAGTGGGACCTGGGGCAAACGTTTAAATAAAAAAAAAGTCAGTCCTGCTGCATGGATCCTTAAAGTTTAATAAATGTACCAGCAATTCAGATTTAGCCAGGAGCCATCATAGCGGTTTTAAGATTGAAGAGTTGGCTTCTTTTCACCTAGTTTTGCTTAATATTCTCCTGAATTTTCAACCAACAGTAATGCTAAATTATCTTCAAAGATAGCCCCTTGTACAGTGCATGGCAAGAGCCAGCATAGCATAGTGGTTTGAGTGTTGGACTATGGCTCTGGAGACCCAGGTTCTATTCCCAGTATGGCCATGAAACCCGTTGGTTAACCATGGGTAAGTCACACTTTCTCAGCCTCAGAGGATGGTAATGGCAAACTGTCTCTGAAGAAACTTGCCAAAAAAAACAAACAAACAAACCCATGATAGAGTCGTCATAAGTCAGAAGGACTTGAAGGCACACAACAAAAGATGGGATGCTACCAAGATGTGAATAATTGTGGCCAGGCTGCATTTTCATGGAGGGAAATGGTGGCCACACTAGTATCAGATGATGAAAGATTCTTGGTACCATGGAAGCTTTTAGAACTCACAAAGGCACAGCTATATCTAATAGCATGTCTGTACTGCATTAATATTCTAGGGACTTATGTGATCTTCCTGTTGTTGCACTGCAATTCCCAGCAGTTCTCATCATCAGCTAGGCTGCCTAGGGCTTCTACAAGTTACAGGGTGGGACGTTCATTCCCACTGCTGCTGTGAGAGACCACACAACCGTCCATCAAGCAGGTAGAGTACAACACAATGCCCACTCAGTTCTTTGTGTTTCCCCAAACCAGCAGCTGGCAAACCCCTGCTGCTGCTGCTTTGCTCATGGTGGGGAGGTGAGGGAGGAAGGAGAACATCCCGTTCTGTAACCAAACTGACTTACAGAAAAGTAAGAAGCAGTTGATCTCAGTGGGGAGAAGAAAGGAGGGTGTATTCACAGTTGAAGTGCACCTTCCTTTTCCTTTCACTGAAAACCAAAAACTGCCACCCCTTCTGTATCTGAGTTACCTCCTCCTTCCTCTTCAGGAAGCTGCAGTGGTGTTTCCCTCCTGAGACTTGACAGGTGGAGAGAAAAGCCTATCCAAAAATAGGCAGACACACATGTAAGCCAGATGTATGAGTGCATATATCACGAACGGGATGCTGCCCAGTGTATTTTATGGATTTAAGTAGGGCTTGAATTTGAGTTTTCTAAACCCAAGTCATTAAGATTAGCCTTCATGTGTTTGTTTAGTTCCAAAAGTTGGGTTGTGGTCTGGTCTAAGCCTTAGATTCTAAAGTGAGGATTGTCACCCTACATTCTAAAGTGAGATTTAATACTGCAAAGCACACAAGCTTTTTATTTATTTGTTTTTTTTTAAAGAGGGTAGTCCTGCACTAGTAATTGGATTGGCACAAACATAATTCCTGACTCATATCTAAGTGCTGACTTCTTTGTGCCTTCTTTCACTATTGTTATATTATTAACATGGATTCCTCTAAGCCAGGGGTAGGCAACCTTTCCCCTTTAAGGGCCGAGGGACTTCAGTTCCCAGAATCCCAGGAGCTATTGGCCATCATGGCTGAGGCTTCTGGGAGCTGAAGTCCCTCGGCTCTTAAAGGGAAAAGGTTGCCTACCCCTGCTCTAAGCAGTGATCACTCTGGGGATTAAGATGATTACTTGGGGAGAAGTGCTCCACTTTCCCCCTACTTGCTTAGTGCACCTTTTTCTCTCCCTCCTATAGTGATAGATGAGGGCCAGTGGAGTTATTATAGTGACAGTCTAGAATTAGGGATATGCACATAAAGATTGCCAATCCACCATGAACCAGGAGGTTGAACTGAATAACCCTTTTGGTCCCTTCCAACTCTTAAGATTATATGATTCTAAGTATACCGGATGATTTTTATCAAGACATCTTATCTTACCATGTCCTTCTCAATATTTTTGGGAAGCTAGCATGGGTGGGAAGAGAAATATGTATGCCATTCCAAGCTTAATAAATAAAATGTAAAAATAGGTGCTGGTTCCATCTTGTCTCCACCTGTCTTATTTCACTTGTGGAATCTCTCCCTCTGTGCTGAACAAACTTTTAGCACAAGAAAAGCTGGGCAGGGATTAGTGTTTTTGAGTAGCTGCGAGCAAAACAAACACACTGGTGGGGATATTTTTGGTTTTGAAGATGGTGTTTTATCCCAAATGAGACACTGGTGTGATAAAAGTAGGCTTCGTTTGAGTGTGCAGTTTTCCTCCACTTGTAAATGATGAGAGCTTAAGAATATCTTGCATATTCTCAGCTGAACTCAAATAACCAAACTGACTGAAATTTTAAAATCTTTTCTTGCAGCCACCTCTAGCTTGCTGTCTTGTGCATCATGTCTTGCAACCAAATTGTAGGCCAAAGATTTAACTTGTTCTGTGTTTGGGTATTCAGTGAGAGTATGGGACAACTGGAGTGATCTCCCTCCTACTACATTTCTTGAGAGGATGCCTGATCTTTACTTCAGTTCTTTCCTCGAAGTAAGAAGGGGGGTTGCAGTGAACGGATTCAGCATCCTGTTTCTTCATCACTTTCATTCAATGTCTTAATCTCTTTGGGATTCAAATTAGGCTCTGATGCTCTTCATCTTTGACTTGATTTATTTGGGAGGCACAGCAAAATGCCCTTTAGATATCTTGAGCAAAGTTCAGCTAGTCAGCCTCTCAGTAGATTTATTTCAGGGATGGGGTCTTAGCCTTCCAAAGGGACTAATTCTCTTTGCTGAAGCATTCCTTCAGAGAATCTTTGCTGAAGATTCTCTGAAGATGCCAACCACAGATGCTGGCAAAACGTCAGAAAGAAACTCTTCTAGAACATGGCCACACAGCCCGAAAAACCCACAAAAAACATTCCTGCTTCCCTTAGACCAGGGGTAGGCAACCTAAGGCCTGGGGGCCGGATGCGGCC